TGTCCACCTCGATAGGCCCAAGTCGAACCTGTGTTTTGCCAGTTCGAGTTGGTGTAGGGTAGGGTTTCGGGTTTAAGGTTTAGTGTGGTTAGCTTGGGTTCATTGTTTCGGATTCAGAGCCTGGGGTCTACCTGGGCCCCCCAAAAGTGGTGAAATAATGGTGGAATCCCGTAAAACATGATCAACAAGGCCGTTATTCTACATATTTTGGGGAGGCTTAGGCCTTTACGCCTTTGCTTTCGTGCTTGGTGCTTTGGATTCAGGGTTTGGTTTTTCACAGTCTTCATCATCTAGCATATGCAAATCAAAGTGCTTGCACATGTGCATGTGGCGCAAACGAATGCAGTCTGGTTATCTGCTTAGGGAATTCCTAGTGTGCGTGCTAGTGACAGCTATATAGTTGTCAACCCTACTCCCCGAATATGCTCCATCTGCACCTCCAGTACAGTCCTCTACGGAATGTCTTCTCCCACAAAACTCTGAAACGGTGGTCTGCCAATGGCAGGATGGGTCAGTTCCTGGAATCAGATGAGCCACCCAGCTGCAGCAAGCAAGACAACTATATAGATGTTCTCTAGTTAAGTTGTGTAGATCATTGTAGTCAAGGGCCAAAGGTGCCTGATATGTGCCGAGACATAGATAGGGATTGTGAAAAGTGTGTTCCCTTTTTTGGATGCCCCAAGGCCCCAAGGGTCACAGCTTAGCCACCCTAAAACCTAAACCCACCACTTTACCCTTCATGAGAGAAGGTGGCCAAGAATCGACTGCGAGCCCACCACTGCAACAAGACAAATAAAAGCCCAGTTACCTACATATTGGGTTCCTGTCCTCAAGACCCTCTATAGTTTTATACTATCTGTGACCCAAGGACTTACTATATGGGTGCCTGGGCTTCTAGGGGTAATTAATAGTAATAGGTCCCGGTAGGGGTCGTGGTCGTCGTCGTGGTCGTTGTTGTTGCAGCGGTAGTTGTCATAGCCAGCGTAGTAGTAAGGCAAGAGTATCAGTATTAGTAATAACAGAAGCACTAGTTTTGCAGATGACAATGATAGCTCTAAGGATCCAAATAGCCCAAAGTAGTTAATATTTGCAGACCTTAGGGCCCAATATAGGTATTATTTGTTTACTTGGATCCCTTGGGTAGTAGCTGTAAGCACTCTGTGAGCTGACATTACTTGCATTTGAGGCTTTTTCTGCTTGCTCCTACATTCCCGCGTGTGCACATGCTTTCAAGAGATGTCGGTAGGTAGGATTCAGGTCCTAGGGTTTAGGGTTCAGGATTTAAGATCTAGTATTAGGGTCTAGGATTGAGGGTTGGAAGCTCCATTAGGACCCAAGTATGTAAAATATGGGTCCAAAGCCTTTCAGCAAGTATCAGTGGCCATGAGGGGTAGCGCTAATCATATCAGGCTCTCCACATAACTTCCACTTCATAATAAGAGCGCCTTGGTAACCGGACTATCATACGAGTCTTACGAAGGTGGGGGTACCACGGTCCCATAATTACAAATGCCACTATCGATTCTCGGGCAGGGGGCCACCCGAATGAAAGGTTTTATCGCAACCAGTTCGAGACGAAGACTTCTTGCGGAGCCCTGGATGATGGCAACGAGACCAGGTGGGCAAGCCTTTGCTTCCTGTGATGAGGGCAGCTGTCGTTGCGTTAGGAGGAAGGGATGGTTCTGCGATGGTTTAGGGTTCAGGGCCGTTTCGGGTTTAGAGTTAGTATCCTCAGGAGCTGTCGCATGCATTGACTACAGTGCGGTGGCGAATGCAACGTCGTAGTGGCTGGAATGTACCTAGGGTATGCCATGCTTCCCTGAACATTCCATGTCCGGAATCCTAAATACCTAATTCCTAGACCCTTTAAACTACAGGAGGTAACTAAGGCCCTAGACCCTCAAAGTCCCAAAACCCTGAGCCCTAAACACGAAAACCCGAGTGGCTCCCGGAGCCCTAGCCAGTATACTCTGGTGAAGCTTGCCCTAAGGGTCCAAGGACCCAAATAATAGGGTTTTAGGGCCCAAATACCACTAATATTATGGTATTTGGGCCCTAAAACCCTATTATTTGGGTCCTTGGACCCTTATATAACCCCCATATATCCCTATATAGTCCCCCTAGAACCCCTTTAAAGGGACCCTATTATTTGGGTCCTTGGGCCCTTAGGGTTGAAGACCACACCGCCCATGTTTGACTGGAGCAAAGCCTCTGTAGGTCTCCATGGTCTCCCCAAACCAGGACGTAGGATTCAGGGTAAACTCTAAAACCCAAAACTAGGGCACCATGGAAGCCCATAGTTCATATGAAGATTCGTCAAAACGACCCCCGCATATCCTGCTAGCTGGACCTTCATAGCCCCCTTCTACTCGCTAGGCTCTCCTGCGGTCCGCCAGATTGAGAAAAGCACACACACAGAAGACCTTCATTAAAGGCGCTATCGTCTTTGTGTAGCATTTTCTGTGATTCCCCTAAACGCCAAACCCTTCAAGGGGGCTCCTCGCTACTCACAAACATCCTTGACACATGCCGTCTCAAACTGAGGATCCTAGCTTCGAAAGGGTTGGGTCATTATCCCCCTATAATGGAGAATCAAATGGAAAAGACAATGGAAAATGAAATGGACACTGGGATTCTAGGGTAGTTTATAAGTTAAACAGAAGCATAGTTTGTTAAAGAGCCGCCAGAAATCCTGGATTCTCATGACCATTCTACTTCCCCCACAATCCTGAAAATTTCCATTGAGAGGAGCCAACGAATTCCCCCTCAACCCTAAACCCTACCTAAACCCTAAACCACTAAACCACCAAACTCTACACCCCTAAAACCCCTAAACCCCAAACACTAAACCCTCTTCTTGGACGCCAGGATAGGATGGGAGAGAACCTTGCTCCTAGCTGGCATTTGCTGGTTCAAAGTTCAGGGTTTAGAGTTTATAGGGTTTAGGAGTGAGAGTGCCAGTGGTGATGCTGATGGTGCTAATTGTTAAGTATTTAGCTCCTTGTATTGCCCTACCTCACCACTCTTTGGAACAGGCTAGCACTGCCCCACTTTAGCGCAAGGACTTGGAGGGTAGGGCTGGGGGCTTTGCTAGCTTTTTCAGCCAGGCATGTGAGCCATAGTCTAAACTACCTAATGGAGGGTTATATAGGGGATTATATAGGGAAGTACTATGGGGCTTTTTAAGTGGGATACAGGGAGTTTGGACTATGGCTCATGTGACAAAACAAGACCTCTACAGGCTTGTAGTTTTGGGCTTTGGGGGTTAGGGTTTAGGGTTGAGGGTTTAGGGTTGCAGAGAGGAACTTGGTTACCTGCCTGATAGCTCTGAGACCTCTGGCAAACTTGTACTAAAATCATCCAATATGACGGTTCATTTGATGTCCCGAATAATCTCTGTGTGCCTATGATACTAAAGCCTAAGCCCTAAACCCTTAGATAGGCACTATAGCCTCCTCTTCCTGCTATAGATAACACTCGTGCTTTGTCATATACCTATCTCCTAGACCCTTTAGTGATTTTTGTACGTTTTAGTCAATATACCCTTCTAGTTCTGATTGCTTATGCAACAAAACCCCAGGTGGGAAGATTTCCCCATATAAGCTCTACTTCGCCCGTATATACTCCCAGTTTCCTCCCGTAAGCCTTATATGAGCCCTTGCAACGGTATCCACCTGATAGCTTACCAGCTGGAAATTCCTTTGGGTAAGGTTTGGGGTTGAGGGTTTAGGGTTTAGCGCTCAGGGTCTAGGGTTTAGGGAAATTATGTCGAACTCCCCTGGCTTTACCTTAAATGGCGGTGTTCATAGAAAATGGTCCCAGATTCGCGAAATGTCAGGTTCAGAAATGAATGTAGGATGGCCAGTTAGTTCATTCTAGAGACCTACATACTTAGAAGTAATATGGTCCTAGATCCTAGATTCCATTTACAGGTATGGTATAGGGGTGGCTCAAATAGATTTCAAAATAGTATTGGTAATTATTCAGGCCCCTACAGTAGTGCTTTCTGCTAGCAAGGTTTGGCGAGACTTACACCGACGCCAAGCCCTTCGATCGGTATGGCGCTGAGATGTGGGTATCTCTAAAAAACCGCGCTGCATAGGCCCCACGAAGGACGCTCCATTATCCCCTAACCCGTAGACCTCTAAACCCTAGACCCCTTAACCCTAAACCCTAAACCGCAATCCCTATGTCTCCCTTACCTTCCCAGAAGCTTCAATTTCGTCATCGCTCTTGGAGTGAGACATGGAAGCCCAAAGTCTGGGTGTAGGGTGTTACGACTTTTCTTACTGTTCGTAATATGGGATGGAATCCCTAGATAACCCCTACCCTAAGGGTCCAGATACCTTCAATATTATAGCATTCGGGCCCTGAAGCTCTACTTCTTGGGTCCCTGGACCCTTAGGGCTATATACTATATTCCCATATTCCCTTCTAAGGGCCAGTATTTTTTCTGTAATGTCATACGCACAGGACTCAAATTTTGAACAAGGGGCCCATGCAGAACCCAACATAATATCATGCCTATTGCAGGTTAATGCCCCCACCCACTAACAGTTGGATAATATCTATAATATAACTATGTAGAACCCTTAATATGCATCCTATTCCAGACTGTTCTTGGGTGGCGCAGGACCCAACCTATTGCAGGGACCCCCAAACAGTATCCATTCCATCAGATCTCTCTTATTCGCCCAACTACTGCTGCTGACTCCTGACGCACTTTGTAGCCTTTCAATCCCTAAACCCTAAACCCCTAAACCCTTAAACCCTAAACCCCTAGACCCTTAAACCCTAAACCCTATGGGTCCCTGGGCAGCGCTCCACAGAAATGTCGCCAAGTCCAGATTCCAACGCATTTAGGCTCCAAAACTCACCTGTAGTGAGCATTAAGCAGCCCGGTAGTCGTCTTTGTCCAAACATCTCAGGTAAACGATTTGCATGATTAGTCATCTCTACATAGCCGCTTTCTTGCGAACAACTCCAAATTAGCCGCTGCCATGACCTACGGCCTTAAACAAGTTGTGGGCGCCGCGGCCTTGTATCGTGGTGATGTCACGAAGCCGGGTTCAATTTGGCTCTGGGGTTCGAAGTCTATACAATAGTTTGCTACCCCAAATATAGACCCCAATATAGTATGATCTTCATTCTGGGGACCCCAAGAAGGTACCACTAATTCTGGGAAACTCCCATGCATACTTTGTTGATGGAGGAAATCTTGCACCACCTGAAATCCCTAAAGTCGTAGCACTTACAGTAGTTTAGGGCCCCTAGGTGGTGCAAGATTTCAGCCATCAACAGTATTTCCCACTTCAAGTGTGTAGGAATTGTGCCTACTTGAGGGTGTGAGGAGCCGAAGCCTAGCAGTCCTTTTACAATTTTGGGGCCCGACACCGCGCATTTGAAGGGCCTATGGTTTGAAAGTTGTTTTTTGGATGGGTTTTGGGGTTAGGTTCCCAAAATAGGGCGTACTTTTTCGGGGTCCCCACGCTAAGCATTTTAGGATTTGGGGGTCCATATTGGGGTCCCCCTACTTATGAACACTACCATATGGGTCTCCTCAATTCCACGCAATAACGTACTTACGCAAAGCGCCAGGTTCCTTGCAGAGGGAATACTTACTTCTTGTCAGCGAGGAAGGATCTTTCTACAAACATACATAATACAATCATGTATCATTTGGGGGTTATATCGCTTTATGGTTTAGGTTTTAGGGTAGTTTCCATTTTTTCGTTTCTTCATTCCATGCGAATACGCCCTGACATACACTTGAGTTTGAAAATTACCATTCTCTTTCTGACTAAGTTCTCCATCATATGGGAATCATATCCCTAAACACTACTCCCTAAACCCTAAACCCTGTACCCTACCCTGAATACCCCAACCCCTAAACTCTACACCCCCAAACCCTGAACCCTAAACTCCACACCCTAAACCCTAAACCATACACCAATGCCAAGGAAGAGGCCCGGCTTCTTCGGTACAAAGGTCCCACTTTTTGGCTTGCGTTGGCATGAACTCGTACTTTGCTCCGGCGTGTTTTTTGTCCTCCCATAGGGTTTAGGGTTTAGGGTTGCAACTGTTTAAAAGGTTTCCCTAACAGTCCAAGTACCCAAGAATTGGGTACTTAGGGTTTTCGGGAGTATGAATTGTAGTACAAGCTTTGGGTAAGTATATGATGATTAAGTACTTGTACTCTCAGGGTTATAAAAACACACAGGTACAGATAGTGATGCTAAGTCACGGAAATCTTGGTTAACCCACAGATGGTACTGAGCGTGTTTTTATAGCGGTTCTGCGAAGATGAAACAAGTAAGAGATCCCCTAACCCCAAAGTTCTAAATCCTCAAGGGGGGATACTAGGAGTTTAGACTATAGCCTATATAACCCCTAAGTTCTAAATCAAAAAAACTTAAAACGCTAGGGTTATCAAGGGGGGATACTAGGAGTTTAGACTAAAAACCCTAGCGTTATTAAGGGAGGATACTAGGAGTTGAGACTAATAATTATAGCTCATCAAAAGGGGGGCCCAGAACCAAGGGCTCCCCCAGACCCCAAGACCCTAAGCCTCTCCAAGTTTCCCTACGGTCCCATATGGTCTCCTAATATGGGGCCCTTAACCCTAGACTTCTAAAACCCTAAAACCCCAAGCCCTAACCCTAGAACCCTAAACCCAAACCCTAAACCCCTAAGCCCCTAAACCCTAAAACCCCAATCCCTAAACCCCTAAACCCTTTGTCCCTATCTACCAGTGCTTTCTTACACCAAGGTTTGAGCCCGGGAAGTGGACCCTCGCTGATGTCTGGGTCTACACGGTTGGTGCTCATGCAGCTCACGCACTCGATTTCTCAGCTGCGCTCCTGTACCTTGGGTTCTAATGTCTTTTGGGGTATATCGTAGGTATTATAAGGATCTCAGGGTTTAGATGCTTGAGCTGTGAGGCCTTCGCAGCTTGGACAAGTAGGAGTGTCAAAAAACAGGGCTCCATGACGCCGATTCACTAACCCATAGCATAGGGACTTCCCTACAGAACCGATAATATTCTTTGAAACTTTCAACTCAGGTGCTACTTGCTGTTCTATGCTGATGGCACTTGGTTGGTGGAATGCAGGGACTTGCAGATAGGCTGGGTGTCCAACATCTTCCTCTACAACCTCGCGTGTGAAATCTTGAGTCTGGGTTGCTGTTAAGGAGCTTTAAAGTACGTTACGCTCATGTGGGAACTATCACTTACTATGGTGGATACTAAGCCATCCTGCATGGCTGTAAGTTTTTTATACACTGGGAAACATGGCACCATAGTTTGCTAAGATTATGCAGCATTTGTTGTATCAACGTCCTTTGTCCATATCATGAAAACTTAGTTTAAGCTCCTTAACGCCAACTCAGGATTTGTGGCTTCTGGCACTACTTCACGTATGTGTCTGACATGTACCAGACCTTCAAGAAGCAAGGCATCAAGTTCAACCCCACCAACCAATATGAGCCCAGGACAGGAGAAGCACATATGCTCACCTCCGCCACCGGCCAGCTGGAAAGGGAAATCACTTTCACAACCCTTGGATGGCTGCAATCTGCTGCATGGCAGTGCCTCTTTATGAACCTCTGGGCAAGGGGCGCCCTTCCGATGTATGCCAACTTCTTTGAATACCCGGTGTACAGTCTCGTCTTACTTTGGTTGGTAGTCTATTGGCGTGAGATTCACTTCTACTGTCCCTTGGCTGGCTTCATAGCCTTTTTTCCATGTTAGGAATAGGTGAGTCGTATTTTTTTGGGGATACTATGGTCCTTAATCTAGAGTCAAATCATACCCCGCGTTGGGGTTTAGTATTTTTTTCGGAAGAATATATTGTGAAGTTTTCAGCTTCGTTACGATGAGGTCACAGCCATATGGATGGCCTTACTGGTGCTTAAGGGGGAGTGGAGGAGTGAATATGTGATATGGAGTATCACAAGAGTGTATATGGGAGTTTCCCAAAATTAAGGGTAGTTTATGGAGCGTTCCAAATAGTAAATATTCGAGTATTTGGGGGTCTATATTGGGTCCGATTATTCCTGGAAACTAGCATATAGGGATGATGTGGGGATTACTATAACTCCCCAATTTTCCTCAAGGACCAGGAAGTTGTTGTAGGATCCTAACCAGGCACTTCTCATAGACAGCCACGTCTGTCGAGGGGACTACTGATTACAATTGTCCTTATCCCTTCTTCTCACTTGAGCCGATGTTCACAGAACGGACTTATCTGTGTTGAATCCAGCGCCGTAGCATCCCTAAACCCTAAAGGGTTTAGGGCTTAGGGTCGTAAACCCTGAACCTTAAACCTTAAACCCTACGCCTACACCCTCATCCCCGTTGCATTCGAACCCTCGAGATAGAGTGATCAAGCCATAGGCAAACTCAACAAGACTCCACAGCCCACGCCCTACTTAGACCCCGTCCCCTACACTCATCAGAGTCCCAGTTTAGGGCTGAAGGTTCAAGCTTCAGGGTTTAGGGTTCGAGGTTTAAAGGTTTAGGGTTTAGGGTTTAGAGTCCTGAGTAGTATGTCGTTGAGCCGTACTGACGCGTAATTGGAGGCCTTAAAGCCTACATCTCTGCAACCTATATGGACCCCCTTGACCTGAAATCCTAAAACCCGACCTGAACCCAACATCCTTTCTGCCGAAATCCTAAGCCAAATCTTAACTCTAAGTCCTAACCTTATATGTAGCCCTTATCCTAAATTGTATGTGGAACCCCTTAGGCTGAAATCCTAAGCCTAAGCCTTAAACCTGAAAACCAACATCCATCAGCAGCTTGCTTTGGCCGCGGTTCCGTCCAGGTGCTCACCGTGGCATGCATCCTTGGTGGGATAGAGCGCCTGGGTCAATGTCACTGGGTTTAGGGTCTCGGGCTTAGGGTTGCGGATTTAGGTTCTAGGGCTTAGGGCTTAGGTCAGATTTGTTGTTTGTAGGGACGAAAGCACCGGATCCCTGTAGTGATGCATTAGAATCCTTAAAAAAGGAAAAAATATTATCCTGGCAACCCATTCCCACACTTCCTACTCAGCGCCATGGACGTTAGGGAGGCGTGGCAGATGGTTTAGGGTTTACTCCTACTTCCTTTGGACGTTTTCAGACCTTGTAACCATAGTAGGACACAACTTGCTTTAAATCAGCCAAAGAAGCTTTAACAAGGCAAGAAGATAATGATATGACTCAGAGGTATGCAAAAGAAGATCGGCTAGTTTGAAGGGGTTGGAGCAGTTCCGCAATAAGGACCCCCCCCCCTCAGGCTATCATGTTAGAGAGGTGCAGAAAGAGAGGCTACTGTTACAGGGTGTGGGGCAAGCCTACAATAACAAAGCACCCACCCCCTCAGGCTACTATATTATAGTCACCCTCAAGTGCATAGAATAAGGGGCATATGGGGATGTTACTATAGCATACCCAAAGCCATATTCTTTCATGGGACTATAGAGTATGCAACAAGGAAGTGGCTGCTTTGAAAGGCTCTCAACTTGCAATGCATGAAGGGGTAGAAAAGAAATACTGCGACCCGTTCCGGATGGCGCCCGCTGCGTTCCTGGGAGAGTCTGGGGGTTTTGGGGATGTGTGGGGATGTCCGGCAGGAATCTTGGGGTGGCTTTGGGCTTGGGACAGGGTCTGGGGCTCCTTTTTTTTTGTCGCTATTATTTTTTCTTTTGTGGGGGTGGGGACTGTGGTCGCTTTCTTTTTGCGTTTCCCTAGGACAAAAAGCTTCGCCAAAAAAAAGAAGCAAAAGAAGAGAACCGACCAAAAAAAAGCACACGCGTCGAGTTTGCGTATTGGGGGAGTTCTCTTTAAGATCTTAAAGCCTTATCCCCTCAACCCCTAAACCCTATCATGAAGGGTCCAAGTACGCGAACATTGGGCCTCAGGTCCCAGATGCTGCGAGCTGCATTCAGCGCAGGGCCGTACAAAAAAAGTCCCAAGTGTCAGAACCTGACTGATCTTTGATCCCTAGAACGCAACTGCTTGAGGAACTGGGCCCCTTAGTGTACCTTTCAGATTAGGTGGACCCCCCACCCTGTAATAGTGGTATAATAGGAATTTAAGAGGACCCTCATATAGCACTGTTATCCCTTATTGTCACGATTACTGGGTGGTGAGTCCACCTACCTTACAGGGACCAAGGAGAATGGGCTTCTTAGCGGTGACGTTGGTGCATTTCTGTACCGGCACGTCCACTCCTTGCACCTGGGCTCTTGTAGAACAAATTTTTTGCATGTTTATGGATACCTGGGTCCAATATCAATAACAAGAAGGATTTTTTTTTTGATAGTATTTCAACAAGAACCCAGGCACCACAAGTCCTACAACCCGGGCCCCTGGAGTGGATTGTCGATGCATCCAGTGGCTGACCGCAAGGATTTGGGATGGGGGGTTTAGGGTCTAGGGTCTGGGGTTTAGGGTTTAGGCTCTAGGGTTTGGGGCTAGGGTTGAGGGTCTAGGGTTTAGGGTTTAGGGTGTAGGGTTTAGGGTGGGGGTGCAGGGATTTTTGGATGTACCTGTCACACCAACTACCTACAGCTGAGGAGCAATTAACTCCTAAAATAGCAGGTATACCCCAAAACACTGCGGGCACTTGGGTTGCAGTTGGCGCGTAGCACTCAGATTTCAGGTGTTAGGCTTAGAAGTTGATGGTTTAGGGTTCAGGCTTCAGGTTTGAGAGTGAAGGGTTGAAGGTTTAGAGTTGGGGTTTGGGGCTTAGAGTTTGGGGTTTGACCTTTAGGGGGCTTTGGGTTTACATGTTCCTTTCACGAAGTCTCTCGTACCATGATAAAAACATCCCCTAATATTGGAGAGGGTGCCCGTTTTCTTGTAGGTTTGCCGAAGACCAAGGTGGAGCATCTCCTTTACTATTCATGTGCGACCCTGCCAGCATTGTTTCTTACCGTCCACCCGCTTCATTTCTTGTACACCAAGTTTCATGCAGACATCGCCCCAATTGGTGGGCATTCCGGCATGGATGAGCCCCTCGACGGCTCCGACTACCACTACCTTCACCATGCCAAGTTTGAGTGCAACTATGGCGTGCCGTTCCCCATCAACCTTGATAAGCTCTTTGGTACTTGGGTCGTTTCTGGGCTGCTGTTCCTGAAGGTTCTTTTGCTTTTTAAGCCATTCGGGCACACAATACCAGATAGAAACGTGATTTCGTGATGGCTGTAATTTCACCCATCATCAATTCCGTATAAGCAGTACCCCAGGATTGGCAAGTGTACAAAGAGACTGGCGAAGTGACTTCCAACGACTGGAGTAAACAACAGATGCACGAGCCAGATGACAAGCTAACACCCTTGCTTGCGGCTAGCAACTTCGATGGGTTTAGGGTTCAGGGTTTAGGATGGAGTTTCTCAAAAAGGTTTCGGGTTTAATGACCGTAGGGGTATATAGGAATTTCCACGGCATTGGGGGGTGGGGGTGGGGAGGGCTTTTTGACGAGCTTTGTAAAGGTCATTTGCGGCAACAGCTTTTCTCACAATTTGCAAGAAATGTAGTTATTATCAGAGCTTTTATAATCTCCTGGTAATCCGCATCCCAAGTCACAGAAAACAGACAACACAGTGAGTTCCTGAAGATGTTTTCAAATTCATAAGGAATACTGGAAAAGAAAATGGAAACTAATGCATTAGACTACAGGGTTATATAGGGATGATGAAAAAGAAAATGGAAACTACTATAATGGGGTTATATAGCGTTCAGGGCTATATAGTGGATATATATATATATGTCTTGTAACTTGACCAAAGGGTCAAAGGATCTATTTGCTTTGTACATTTGGGCTGCAATGGCCTCCTGTGTATATAGAATGTATATAGACAGGCCGGCACCTAAGTAGATAAGAATTGTGTACTAAAGCCTTATGGTTAGGATCCTGGCAATGATCGTGCGAACACACTTTTACCATAAACCCTAAACCCGAAACCCTAAACCGAGGTGCTTCAAGTTGATTCAGTATATGAGTTGTAGTCTAAACTCCTTAAAGGGGGTTATATAGGGGATTATATAGGGGACTACTATAGGGGTCATTAAGGGGGATACTAGGAGTTTAGACTATAGCTCATATGGGGAAGAAATTTTCTACAACTCAGAGGTCCAGGAGTTGAGGCCCTCAAGCGGGAGAATTATGGTAATTATAGGAGGGGGCCGCCATTTCCGGAAGTACCCATTCTTTTCGTCTTCTTCAGGATCATTAATTCGTTTGTTTTTTAAGCACCTGTATGTTGGACGACCACCCCTCACTTCTCTCGTCAAACCCCTAAACCCTGAACCCAAAACCTAAAACCCTAAGCCTGAACCCTACAGTCCCCCTTAAGTAGATACAATATGGGGTATATGGGTATCTTACTATAATATACCCAAAAGCCATATTCTATCTACTTAAAGGGGACTAAAGATATAAACCCTAAACCCTAAACCCTAGATCCTAAACCCCCGCGTGACCAGCGGAGGCAACAAGCAGATGTCTCTGGCAGAAGTCGCGACGCATTGCAAACCAGGAATCACACGGTCTAGTGTTTACAGGGTTTAGGGTGTTGGGTTTAGGGTCTTATAGGGTTCATAGGGTTTGGGGTTTATAGGGTTTAGGGTTTTTAGGGTTTAGGGTGTAGGGTTTAGGGTTTAGCTTCTTTTGGCCGAGGGAACTCAGCAACCGGCAGGAGATTACTTCATTGCTCTCTATGGGCAAGTCATTGATGTGTCCAACTTCATCTCTAAGCATCCTGGTGGGGAGAAGATTTTGCAGGCCAATGCTGGGAAGGATGTGACGCAGAAGTTTGAAAGCACTGTGACATTGTTGAGCAATTTTTTCTGGTGTCAAAAATGATTCCACAAAGCGATGCAGAAGAAACTCCGTGTGCATCTTATCCCATCAATTACTGGCAGTTTAGGTCTATTGTGGGCCAGTTTCTGCCGTCTAAAGTCTACCAGTGCTCAGGATTAACCCTAAACCTTAAACCCTAAAGACTAAACCCCTAAATTACCCCCAAACTCCCGTAAGCTTTACTTGGAAGACCTTCATTCCAAATACTAAAGCGCCGGCAACCCAATAACCGCTAGACACCAAGTCTCTAAGACTTTCAAACTGCGTAGGACCGTAATTAAACCGTAACGTCTAAGCCCTAAACGCTTCATGGAACCCTAAGGGTCCAAGTACTAGATAATCATATACTTACCAAAAACCTGCACTATCATTATTATCACTCGAAACCCAAGTACCTAAATATTGGGTATTTGGACCCGAAATCCTAAAACCCCATGTACCTTCATATCCCTCATATATCCCCTATACATCCCCTATATATATCCCCTTTAAAGGGACCTAATTATTGGGTACTTGGACCCTATGGAACCCTAAACCCTAAACCCTATAAACCCTAAACCCAAAACCCTAAACCCTAAACCCCTAGAAGTGGGCCAGGTATTCATGCGAACTCGGGAGGCTTCGAGCTTGTGTCCAAATGGGCACCAGATCCCAGGCTCTGGGTTTTAGGCTTTTTGGGGATTTAGGGTTTAGGGGTTAAGGGGTTTAGGGGTTTGGGGTTTAGGGTTTAGGGGTTTAGGTTTTAGGGTTTCAGGGGCTTGGGGCTCAGGGTTAAGGGATCTAGGGTTTAGGGGTTTAGGGGCCCGATTTAGGGTTTAGGGTTAAGGGGTTTAGGGGTCCGCGGTCTAGGGTTTAGGGTTTCAAGATTTAGGTTTTAGGGTTTCAGGGTTTTAGTGTTTAGGGCTGTAGGGTTTTAGGGTTTGGGGGTTTAGGTTTTAGGGTTTCAGGGTTTTAGTGTTTAGGGTTGTAGGGTTTTAGGGTTGTGGGTTTAGGGGTTTAGGTTTTAGGGTTTCAGGGTTTTGGTGTTTAGGGTTGTAGGGTTTTAGGGTTTGGGGTTTTAGTGTGTAGGGCTTTAGGGTCTAAGGGTCAGGGTTCAGGACTCCGGTTTGCATACCTCTCACTCTAGGCCATTGGTTGGGGCTCAGGGTTTGGGGTGTAGATTGACATACTTCCTTTTGTTTGGTTTCTGGAGTTTGGTCTAGTATGGCAGACTTGATAGTTACCTGTCATGTTCTCTCTAGGGCAAACTCAAGCCTGTCAAGCCCGATGGTTTGGGGTTTAGGGTTTCAGGGTTTAGGGTTTGAGGGTTTAGGATTATGGTTTAGGGTTTAGGTGTCCCTCCCCCTCTCTCTCCCCCCCTCTCTCTCCCCCCTCTCTCTCTCCCTACCTCCCTCCCTCCCTCTCTCTCTCTCTCTGTCTCCGTCCCTCTACGTTTCTGACTTTCATCTTGTTTGTTCCATGTGACGGAACGGTGCACATGCTGATTCCCAAGCCCTAAACCCGAAGGCCTAACTTCTAAACGCTGAACCCCGAAATCCTGAACAATGAAACACTTAGCCCTAAAGCCATACATCTTACAACCCTAAGGCTTAAACACCGAAGCCCTCCGAACCCTAAAGCCTGAAGCACACTGAAGCACAAGCTGTGCGAATAGTCTACTGGAAGCATGGGCCCCTAGGTTAAAGGTCTAGGGTTTCGATAGGGGCCCTAAGCCCTTTTATCAGGACTCTGCGTCTCCCTATGGATATCTGGGACTACGGGAGCTTATGAGGGGCCCATAGCTTTCATGTTGGAAGTTGGTGCACCTAAGCCCTCAACCCCAAAACCCTAAACCCTAAAAACCCTTATAAACCCTAAACCCTGAAACCCTAAAACCCTAAACCCTAAAGCCCTGAACCTTAAAACAACAAAACCCTATAAACCCTATCCCCCTAAACCCTAAAACCCTAAACCCCTTCAACCCTAAACACTAAAACCCTAAACACCTAAACCCTAAACCTTTACACCCTAAGCAGCCTAGGATTCCATTGTCGCCTCAGTGAGCGATTGGAAGGGACCCTCGCCTCCCCTTGTGGCGGAAGCGAGGAAGCAGCATGAAAGCTGATCAGAAGCGTTGAATTTATGAGGGTTTAACGTTTAGGGGTTACTGTTTAGGGTTTAGGGTATACTGTTTAGGGTTTAGGGTTTAGGGCTAGAGAGAGGGTTTAAGGTTATAGAGGGGTATCATATTAGGGTTCTATTGGGGCTTATATTATATTGGGCCTTTGTTAGGGTTCTGTTGGGATTATATTAGGGTTATATTATTAGGGTTCTCTCGGGGTATAATGGGAGGATGTAAGGTCATGGGTTTCAAGGCTTAGGGTTTCGGGGGTATAAGGTTTAGGGCTTAGGGTCTGGGACCCGAGGGGTCGGATTAAAGGTCAGACTTTAGTGGTTTTGCAGGTTAAGAGTTTAAGGAGAATTATTTGTGGGTCGAGGCTAGCGTCTTCTGGGCAAGCAAGCGTCAGTCAAGGTATCCGGGATCTTTGATGTTATGGCCGATGGTCCTGGCCTTTGCACTAGCTGCCCATGGACCGTGGCGTTTGGCCGGCTGAGACACAAAGACCGCTGACCTTGGGCATTCCAAGAAAAAGCAACCGAAGCACTCGAGATCCGTAGAATGTCCTTGCTAGTGCGTTGAATTTTGGGTCAATCCCCCACCCAGTAAAGGGTACCACAAAGGATTATTGTAGGTAAGTTAAGGCCCTATAAACTTCCTTGGAGCCATAGTCTTAACTCCAAGTATCTTCTTTAGTAAAAAAACTTTATAATAGTCCCCTACATAATCCCCTATACAACCCCCTTGAAGGAGTTTAGATTATAGTTCATATCTAGGGGCTATTACTGTGGGGGGGGGACTGACCTAAGTTGAATTGTGGATACAGAAACACCTGGCAGTGCTCTTTTCGCCCTATCTGTGCCTGGTATAGTATAGTATATTTCGGTATATTATAGTATGATATAGTATATTCGGCTTATTTAGTTCATAGCAGGGGATCAGCAACATGTGGCAGCCTCTTTCCAGCGTAGCACGAAGCCATGGACGACAGCAGTCGCAAACATGGGCATGGGGCATTCACCAGAAATAAAGTGCTATTCTGCAGTCCTATATCAAGGAGTCTCGTGTCTTTCCGAAATTCTAAATCTGCATTGTCAAGCACCCTCCCCAAAGTAGCATGGAATTCCCCCAAAAAACTACAATCTTTTTGCAGGGGTTGCTATGGGCTCCAGTTTAGTCGGGGAGGGTAAACTTCAAGGTGCAAGTACGGAGCTCTGAACGTGACGAACGACTATCGAGGCCCCGTTTGAAGGATGTTGAGGGAATTGGTTGAGACACAGGGTGGATCCCTCGTGTGGAAAAGTATTCGCCCTAAGCCGAGGGCTTTTCTGAAGGCTTGAGCAGGGTAGAGTTTAGATCCACGAGGTTCGGGGATGTAGGTCAATGTGGCAGGCGGCGTTTAGCTTTTTGGATTTTTGGTTGTTGGCTTCGTCTAAGGTGTAGGCAGGCCGAGGGTTGTATAGCAGCCTTTCAGGCTTCATATCAGCGATTGCTTGGTGTTCAGGGTTCCCTAGGCCAGAATTAGACCCTAAACCCTGCACTAGGTTTTAGGTTTAGGGTTTAGGCCTGTCAACGCAGACTTCCAACCTTTTGACACATGACGCCCAAGCTGCTAGTATCCGGAAACTCAGTACTTCGATTCCTACCTATCACATGTTTTTGACAGTGACCCACCCCCAGTGTGGCTCCAGCTCGTTTGCGAGTCTTGCATGGGCCTTGAGATGTTGCGGCACAACATGATACATGGCAGTTTTGAAAACTACGGGGAACCCAATATAGACCTTCCAAAATTTTGGGGACCCCAGAAATGCTTCACGTTTTTGAGAGCTGCTGATGCGCACCTTCCTGGGATGCCATGCTGAAACGGCAGGGCTGCGATGCTCATGATGCTGTTTTGCTGGGGTGCTACGGGTGAACCTATGTCCAAACGCAGAGTCCCTCCTGATGCGCAACTTCCAGAGCTGAAGTGCTTAAACGGAAGGGCTCCGATGCTCATAATGCTGGTTTGCTTGGGTGCTAGGG